AAAAAAAAAAAAAAAAAAAAAAAAAAAAAAGAGCCTCAGTATCAGCAGCTTCCTCCATTGCTGGAAAAGATGATAAGAGACAGCACGTCTCTGGGGCCTCGACAGCTTTCTGCTGTTCTCCATTTTCATGGCAAGTAAGTAGGGGGGGGGAGGAAGAAAAAGGGTTTAACCAGCACTCAGGACGGGGTGTTACGAAACTCTCTCTCAGGACTGGGTGTTATGAAACCCTCTCTGCCGGCCAGGGGAGCAGCAAAAAGCCTGGGAAGACTCTGTGCCATCACAGGGCTTGGAGAAGGAGGCAGGAGGATGCTCATCAGGAACGGTTTAGGGAGAGCAAAATCGTGTTTTGTGGAGGCGACTCCGAGGCTCCCTCAAACCTCTGTCTGCAGGGGGTGGGTTTAGCCCAGGGTAAAAGGCCCTTGGAAAACACTTGGGGTTGGAATGAGGGGTGAGAAGAGAGTTGTGGGAGGGTGTGAGGGACGACATCAGACCCTCAGGGCACGTTTCCCACCGGCACAGATGGCGGTGCCCGCCCCCAAACACAGCGGGGAAATGAGGATGGGAAGACACCAAAGCGCCCCTGCCCTGGGCTGACCACCCCAACCCCAACCCCACCCGCAGCAGGGGAGGTTCTGGGCGGGGGGGAGAGCCTGCTGTGGGGCTGCTGTGCCCCCCCACCTTGGTGCCCCCCACGCTGATGATGCGGTACACGCTGCGCGTGGCATCGTAGAAGTAGGAGACGGTCAGGGCGTGCTTGCTGGCCGGGATCCAGTTCCGCTTGGTGGCCGGGTCGATCTGGAAAACGTGGGCCCTGGTGCTGAAGATTGGCTGCTCCCTGCAAGACAGGAGGAGGGGGCTGTCAGGGCAAGGGGGGGGGGAAAGCTCAGCCAGGGTGGGGGGAAGTGCAGACATTTCCTGCTCTTCCCCTTCCCCGTGTCCCTGGGCACAACTCCTGCTCTGCCCCTGCCCCTTCCCCGTGTCCCTGGGGTGCCAAGGACACGGTGCCTCCCAGCCAGCCCACCCCTGGCCCTCTGGGAAGTGACCAGCAGCTCCCCACTGCCCACACTGGTGCCATCCAGTGTCACCCCCCTCACTCCAGCAGTCGTGGCCCAGGCTCTCCTCATTCCCCTGAGCTGTTTTCCCAGGGTTTCCCTGTGCTCTCCACGTCCTTGGCACTCCTCTAAAGCATTCCAGCAATCCCAGGCTCTGCCCTCAGGCCGGTGGATTTTATGTGCCCGCTCAGGACAGTGTAGGGGAAATTGCAAATTAAAAGCACAAGGAGCCCCCCACAATCTCGTATTTAGGGCACAACTGGTGGTCCTTCCCAGCACAGCCACACTGGGGCAGGGTTGTGAGTAGGGGTTTGGTTTATTTTCAGCCTGACTTGGAGCTTTCTCTCACCCTCACTCATCACCTCGGTGCTCAGCCCAGGGCAGCTTCACCAGCTCCAGGATTTCTCTGGCTGCTGCATGAGCTGTGCTTGGTGGGACATCCCCGAGCTGGAACTCCAGGGAAATGGGTGGGTGGATGGATGGATGGGTGGATGGATGGATGGATGGATGGATGCATGGATGGATGGATGGATGGATGGATGGATGGATGCATGGATGGATGGATGGATGGGTGGATGGATGGATGGATGGATGCATGGATGGATGGATGGATGGGTAGATGGGTGGATGGATGGATGGGTGGATGGAGCCCGTGTTTGGGATGTGAGCACAGCAAACAAAGCCCTTCCCCTCAGCACAGCTCTTCCTCCCGCTTGGGAAGCACATCCTGCAGCCAGGGGTCACATCCCAGCCAGTCCCTGAAGGATCCAAAGGAAACCCTTCACCCTCCCAACGTGCAGCTGCTGCAGGGAAAGCCCTGAACCCTCCACAGAGCCTGAGCTGAGCCAAGGAGCTGAAGCTCAGGGTGTAACCTGAGCAGGAGGCAGGAAGGGAATGTTTCCATGACACAACAGCCTGGGGTCTCTGCTTAACCCCAACCACACTCCTGACCCAACCCTGTGAGATCTGATGTGCTGGAAACAACCCCCCCAAAACCCCCCTGAGAGCACAGGCCACGGTCCTGCCGCGTGGAGCTCCCCAAAATCCAGACTCCTCAGGTCTCACCCAGCCCCTTCCCCACGTCCTGCACATCCTCCCTGCCTGCTTTTACTCAGCTTGCTTTGGGAGGGAATTCAGGTTTTCCAGGCTCCACTAACAGTAAATTTTCCTTATCTTTTCCCACGCAGGACACACAGAGCAGGGGAAAAACTGATGTTTGTGCCCCCCAACCCCCAAATCCCGGGCTACTGGTGGAAAGAAGAGAGGGAGGGAAGAGCAGCAGTTACCTAGTTGTTGACATTGGTTAGTAAGGGTGTTAGTTAGCTGGTGGAGTTAGTTTGTGCCTCTCCTCCAACAGCTCCTCCTCAGGTGTGTGTCCTAGAGGCTCTGGGGCTCCTTTTTGGTGCTGCCTCCACAGGGATTCATTTCCTAGCGATGGAAAAGCTCAGCTGTTATTTGTTTCCCCCGCCCAGCACAGACACAGAGTCCAGCCAGGGGCTTTGTCCGTCCCAAATTCCCAGTGGAATCTGTGGTGACTCCCCACCACTGAACACGTGGGGGTTTTTACCCCCCTGCTACGGGTGAGCTGTGCCACTGGAGTAAATCCCTGCTGGGAGAAGGCCATGGGGGAGCCTGGAAGGCTCCAGTGATTCCGGCCATGGAATGCCGTGGTGCTGCTGCAGGAAAAAAAAACACAAACCTCAGAGATCAGCCCTCGTGCAGGGCAGCTATTCCTGTGCTCATCCAGGAGGGCTCTTCACAGATCCCATTCCTGTGCTCACTGCCCACCTGGCTGCACCCAGAGCCACAGAATCCAGGAATTCCCTGGCAGGGGGATGGAATGAGACGATCTTTAAGGCCCTCCCAATCCAAACCGTTCTGTGATTCTGTGAAAGTCTTTGGTTGTTTTTTTTCTGGTTTGTTTTTTTTTTGTTGTTTGTTTGGTTGGTTGGTTTTTTGTTTGGTTGTGGGTTTTTTTTTGAATCCATCAAAGGATACAAATTGCATCCAGCTCGTAGGAGAATTCCTTTGTGCGAGATCCTGTTCTGCAAACCTGCTTTTCAGTCCTCGCCCGTCTGACAAGGTCGAGGCAGAGGCTCCAGAACAAAAGCTCCCTCGGAATGGGAGTGGTGGATCTCAGCAAACCCCAGACAGAGAGAGCAGCAGCAACAACGCGAATCAGGGGAGAGGAAAAGCCGGGAGAGCTGAAAACCCCCGGGGCTCGACTCGGAGAAGTCCCAGCTGGTTCGGGAAATGTGAGGATTTTAGAATTCCAGAGTGGTTTGGGTGGGAAGGGACCTCGAAGATGATACCGTTCCACCTCCCCTTCCACACCTTCCACTATCACAGGTTGCTCCAACCTGGACACCCCCAGGGATGGGGCAGCCACAGCTTCCCTGGGCAACCTGTGCCAGGGCCTGCCCACCCTCCCAGGCAGGAATTCCTTCCCAATATCCCACCTAACCCTCCTCTCTGGCCGTTCAGCAGCAAAAGCAGCACGGGCAGGGTTTGCCTGAGCCAGGGAGGGACAGAGGGACGCGGAGGGGGTGCCCAGCACGGGGACACCACAGGAGGTGACAGCCAGACCTGTCAGCACGAGGAGCACCACCCCACCCCCCCTCCCCTGCATCCTGCCCTCCCAAAACGCTCCAAAAAAGAAAAAAAAAAAAAGGGCATTTAAAAATAGCCCTGGAAGTGCCTGCGATTGGAGCTGTCATGTTCTCTCTCCCGCTACAACCCTCCCAACATCCCGAAATGCTGACTCCTCTTTTCCTGCTCCCAGCTGGGAGTCCCCACAACAATACCCAGCCCCCGGCGGTGAAAAGGCCGCGTGTAAATAAAACCACTTACATCCCCCCAGGGCTGTCCTTC